TTTCACATATGAAGGATAATTGATAACACAAACAAAAGGTCACAACGAGAACACGCCGCACGCTTTTAGCGAATCCCTGCACACGTGAGGCCGGGCTTAGCCGGCAGCTCCATGTACAACTAAGCGGGACCCCAACTCTTTCATTCACATATCTCTAGGGCCAGTCCAACCCACTAATTATAAAATGCCGGACTATAAATTACCGAACTCCAGGCTCTCTACCATGAGTACTGACCGTAACCGATCAAAAGAGAAATCATGACGTAACAAAAATCACAGAGCAACCAACGGCAAACTCGCACGCATACATAATCATAAACAAAATATACAAAATTTATGTAGGCGTTGACAGTTGACACATTTGCACTGGCATAACAAAGACTGACACAAAACCAATATTCGGTCACTACATGTTAGAGATCGACTAATCGGATTTATTAGCAATATCGGCAAGATGGCTCTTTTCAAAGACACAAAAAACAATACATAAAACATAATCTCTGCGTATGTCAGTTCTGAACTTTAGCCAGCCTCTGCTACGTCAAATCGAGATTAAATATCGGTATCAAATATCAATATCAAATATAGCACAGTACATATTTGAAACAAGTCACCCTGCCAAATATTAATAATCATAATCACCCGGTTCAAATAGATAGTAGGAGCATAACGTTACTTATTACATTAGGTACAACAAAACAAAGGAACATGTCGTGGCAAACATTAGTATCAAGTGATTAATTCTCAATGCCAAGTGCAATATGTAACAATAAACCACCTAACGTACGTCACTCGCCTCCAGATGAAGCACCCTGTAAATAAACAGTAACATATTCATGCAAACAAAAGCGTAATGTGCTGCAATAAATTCAATAATAAATTAAAAGGTAGTTCTGCTCACTTGTATTGAATATCGCCCCTAAGGAAACATACTGTATCTAAATATAAATAAAACACGTAAATCGGTCAGTAATTCATGTTACCGGCGCTTGGAACAAAGGAGTACTGTAAATAGGAAAACAACATATTTATGTAGAATCTCTATGCATTAAATACAAAGTAGGACAGTGCAATTTGTATCTAGAATGTGTTATAAAAATGGCAATAATCAATGCTGTACTGGAATAACATTAAATTGGCGAATAATTAAACACGATCATAGATGGATGCAATAGACGTAGAGATAAAAAAACGAGTACATCACCTTTGTAATTGTCAAAGCTGCACTCACTATTCGAAACGTAAAAATTTACTTCTGCTCTCAACAAAAGCACAAATACCTCTGCCGCAATGTCCCCTTTTTAAACAAATCCTAGACGAAAATTGTTAATATAGACCGTGCTCCAAGACGTCGGGTCGATAGGGATCATTAAGTTCCCTCGCATAGCGTTATTTGACACTTTTATTGTAAATTATGGCCTATTTCAATGTAGAGCAGAGAAGGAAAAAAAACACGTGTTCCACGGAAACAAAACAAAGCGCAATCTTGATTTTTTTCGTCGCGCCAGGGTCGGTTTCGGGAATATTTAAATCGATTTTAGCGGGCTAATTCGGTTCCATCACACAACGTTGATTTTTCAAATGAATCCTGCTATATTTTTTGCACTTTCAAATGTCGAATCAATCTTACACCGATGAGTTATTACATCCCCTATACCTATCTGTTATGCTTTCCGTTTTATTTTAGATTTTCTAACATTGAGACCGTTATGCATAATCTCCTTCGGTGGTCTTGAAACATATAGAGACAAAAATACAAACGAGAAAAATGCATAAATAAAACATCTCAAATTGTACGAATCGAATCAAATGCAGTTAAACAAATTCATAAAACAAAACACGCTAGGGATCATAAATGCAAGTGAAAAACATGATAAATCAATTTAGTAGAAAAACATATCAAAACACAACTCATAAAATGATAAATAATGTATGTACATAGGAAAACAGCAAATGGCGTGACTCTATTCCAGCTTCAGTTACCATAAATTAAAATGAGAATGAGAAGTGAGAATGGCAATAAGTATTCAAGTTAAAGTAGACCATCACAGATACAAATACGCGTATTAAAACCGAAGAGAAGTTAATTAGGGGGCCCCCTTCTCGCATTGCTCGCATGTGACTTCTGCTGCCTGCGGGAGATGAAAAAAGGAACATATACTGATATATATCTACAAATCGGACTGCATGCGGTTTCTTTTCCCACAGAGATAAATTGCTAGATCAAACACCCAGGGCGACATTATACTGATAATCTACTTACACGTGAATACATCAAAAATACATAATAAAACAAGATAATCGCATAATCATCTGTGCTGCAGTATAGCAAACAAACATGATTCGGATAACGGTACATAAACAAGAGCTTGAGTACGCCACGCTTCGATAGTGGTATTTTATGCAAAATTTAAGTAGTAACAAATTGTGGTATAAACTAATAAAATAGTACAAGAAAGAAGGTTACTACCTGTACATACACTTTCAAGTGTATCTTGAAAGTGTATATATAAAATAATAATCATTGAGAAAACCCGGGGACGCGTGTGATACACATTCTCGACACCATCGCCACCGCTAACTTTCTTAACCTGGTTGTACAAATCACCTCCGTTTAGATGCCATAAAATTCCTAATACCTAAAACCCGAAATAAGTCCCCTGTTTAAATCACGTAAGAAGTCTAATATGTGAAACTGTGATTTAGGACAACTTTACCCCTTACACCAGCCACTCAAATTTCACCCTTTCTCGTACCGGGTCTATTTTACGTTTGCCCAAACTACACTACAATTCTCATCAACTTCATTCCAATAATTGTTTGTTAGTGCTTGTCAGTGCTTCACGTACCAGGACTAGTGCCGGTTTTTATTATTTTGGAATTTCAAACAGAAATACGTTTTTAGAAACCACGACATCTCCTCAACTTAATCAAATCATTATAAGCCTGTTTAAAGATTTTGAATTTATAAAACGAGAACAAGAGATACTAATCGACCCGTCTGCTTAATTGGAAAAATGCGTACCTAACTCAAATCTTCAAAATTGTTCAGAAAATGCAAAAAATTGAATTTTAGAAAAAACCCTATGTCCCATAAACGCAACAAAAAAATAGCATATGTTGGAAATGAGCCGACCTCTCTTATTATAGACTTCTTTTATTGCAGAACCGAGGGTCACATTAGGTTCAATGAATGCCGTCCGAGGCATCTTGATAGCGTAGAGTTGTTAGCGTAAGTAAGCTGCTGTGAAACTACATGCAACATGGGCGCCGATATCAACAACCAATCAAAAATTAGACATTTTATTGGCGTCACTGTCTCTTTAAATCCACTGTATAATACCATGATAATGCATAAACCGCTCGCCAGGAAAGATTACCGGTCACAGAAGACCTGATCCCGGTCTACAATCTGTGTTTTTCTAAAAATGTGAGCGACTTCGTGCCAATGTATTTGGCAGGATCCTATTCCGGATGTCGCTCGCATCTTAAAAAAACATAGATTGTAAATTGACACAAGGTGTGCTGTGACCGGCAATCTTTCCTGGCGAGAGATATATAAATTAATATTGTTCGCGCTACTTCTACTTGTGATTGATAGATGTCTCTAGTTACGTTTAAGAAAATTCTTCAGTAAGAACCACGCAATACAAATAATATCTACAAATCATCTGTCGGATATGGATACGAAACTAAAATCGTATTTGACTATCCGGATATGAGAAGAAGCGTAGATGATCAATCGCTGATACGCTTTAAAATTGGGAAATAATTACGTAGACATCATTATTTGAATGATACAATTTTATTAAACTTCGAGAAATGTTTTATTAAATAAAGTGTCATAGGGTTGAAGCTTCTGCTTCCAACGCTAATTACTTAGCTTGTGACAGAATGAAAAAAGATGCTTCAGTTACATTTATGTCTGGTTGTAAATTATAAATTCGTTTCTCAGCTCGGATTAGTACCTAAGGGTCGCATAAAAATGTTCGAGAAGTATAATAAAATAAGGGGGTTGTAGCACAGCTTATGCGTATCATTGGCGCGCTTAAAAGAACAGCAAGTAATTATCAATATAAAACAATTAATACATCTATTGTAATGCCTATTTCAAGGAACAATTTACCTACGCTACATCTGAAATTTAGTTCTGGTAATTACAGTTATTAATACCATTATCAATTATTTATTTCAGTTAAATTTACCTTGCTCTTAAATTAGATACCACTCCACTCCGTTCTGAATGATAGTTAGGTATTGGTTTAACTTGTAGTACCTACCTGGCACTTATTTGGCTTTTGCATTATTAACCAAATCGAATTTACGTGTTTTGAAATATTATTTCGATGAGTTAATTCAACCATACTAAATTTAAAGTAAACCATACCGTCGGTCTAAATTATAAAAAACACCGGGGATTTGCATTTCAAATTACCACTCTTCTCTAATGAGAATATATAAAAGTTTCTTAATGGGGAAGGGGCGGATATCAAGATAATTATTTTAGTTACTTTTTAAACTGGAACATGACATTCTAATATTGTGTTGTTCCAACAATTTTCTAAATGATTCATAGTGTTTTAAAAACTTATTTTTATTGATTAGATGATCCAGATTAAACTTTTATCGTTTTAAACAATCGAAACATACTTAATTTCTACTATAAAATAAATGAATAAAATTTTCATAAATTTTGCATCAGAAATACGATTATTTCGGACCATCGGCCGAAATCTTGAGTTTTTCGGAATTTTCAAGAGTGTCAACCGAGGCTCCTTCTTCTTTGGCGCCCTCCCGACTTTGGCGCCCCCTCTACATTGGCACCCAAGGCACGTGCCCTATCTGCCATATCTTAGCCACGCCACTGTAATTCGGCGGTAGACATTTTTAATTCTCTACGAGTAGGCGTATGCTACTTGGTGGAATTTCAAATTTCTAATTGTGGAAAAATTACAAGAAAGGACAGTATCCCAATTAAACCAATTCTCTTTTTTTTTCAGATTCCTTACGTACATCCAGGCGAGATACCGACCTTTTTCGGTAAGTTTAATTGTTCTGATGATCACAGTATATTATCAAATCGTTTAGTGCACGCACCTAGTAATTTCCATCAGCTATCTGTCGACCTATTGTCTACTTACAATGAATTGCCACGGTTATTCAAAATATTTACTTCTCATGCAGTCTGCGCATGCGAACATCTCATTAGTCATTACTATATGCGATATGTTTGCCTATACTAAATGTATATGTGGTTAAAATTTCTACAAAATGTATTAATAAATATGAAAGATCATATTGCGCAGCCCGCGCATGTGTAAATTAATCGTCAAGATTTTTCTTGGATCAGCTGCCAGAGCTATAAGCTACCAAATTATAAAAGAACGAATTAGATATATTGAAAACTGTAGTAGTTAAGGCTTCGGACGGCCAGACGAACAGACGGACGGACGGACGGACAGACGGACGCACAGAGGGACGAACAGAGAGAGTGGCTGCAATAGCGCACTCAACTCCGCTGGAAAATGCTCTAAAAATGAGTAAGCTGAGCAAATATCAGTAAAATCAATGTGTACGCACACAGCGCTCTGAAAATTAAAAAAAAATATTTTCAGTAAAAATAGCACATTTATAACTTTATAACTACTATACGAATTCCTCTCAGTAAGAACACAGACAACATATATATGTTGTCTGTGGTAAGAATAGCAATCACTTGAATACGGAGCGCACCTTTGACACCGACAAATTCATCGCTGTAATTTATTTATTTATTTCAGATATAAGAGGATACATCCACATTCTGCTTTTCCTTCGTTTTCTTCTTGCACATTAGGGCGTATAGTAAAAGGGCTTCTTCAACGTCCATTAGGTATATCAGTGTATTTGACATAAATTCTGATGACAGACTGTATCTCGAATACATCAGTATCTCGCATACAGTATCCCCGTGTAAAGGCGGTCTAGTGGGCTGATTATTCGTAATTCCATGATCGTCATGGAAATGTCACAGCATGACCGGCCATGTCACAAAGTCACGACCTTCTTTTTTCCCGATTGCGTCACAAGGATATTCCCTTGGTTTTCCCAAGGTCATTACCTTGGGGTTTTCTCGATTAGGTCGCATGGTTATTACCCTGGAGTTTCCCCGATTACATCACAAGATCGCAACCTGGGGGTTTTCCGAAGGTTGTGGCCTAAGGATTTACCCCGCCTTGGATGCCGATCCAAGGTCATGGTCTTAAGTTTTGGGCAAGGTCGTGGCGTTGGACTTTCACCAAAGCTCCGTAGTCTTGGGATTTCCCGGATCACGTAACAGGATCGTGGGCTTGGGATTCCTAGTTCTTGTTTTTTCGAGTTTAACTTTATTTTCTTTTGTCAACTAAACTCGAAAATTGCATGCAAGTTTTGAATCGTATTTCAAATATTTCCCTAAAACTTAGAAACTAAACAAATTTATAGTATATTAAGTATGGAGAACGGTAAGGGATTTTTACCGTTCGAAGACAATTGTTTGGAGGAGGAGCGAAGCGACGACTCCAATTATTGTCTGAGAACGGTAACCCTTAACGTTCGACGTGCTTATAACATTTTTTGCGCGATCGAAATTAAATTTATGCAACCAATATAAATATGCACTAAGAAATTAACGAGCAGAATAAATCGAAATGATCGAAGTGGTATGGTGTATATCACTAGGTAACCAGTTTATTTGTCAAAATTGAAGTTAATAATTTCATAAAAATGTGCATGTGTCTGATGTAGTTTACTAGCTTTGAACTTCCTTTATGACTTTATGAGCGTCTTGCTATAGGAAACAACAGCACAAATTGTACGTTTAATGTACCTAACAATAATTAAAGATTAAATGTAATGTAAGACTGTTGATTTTTAAAAAGGCGTCGGTAAGTATTTTTGCTGTTCTGTTTTTAGATCGGTAAGTAATTTTGACGTCGTCGTAATCATAGCAACTGGTAAATTCTACCTACTGTCATGGAAACACCCATGGTAAATAGTCAGAAATGACCGATCGCGCAAAAAAGCATTTTCGAGTTTAACTTTGTATGTTGATAAAAAAGTTTCTAAGTTAAACTCGAAAGTTCTAAAACATATTTCAAATATCTTGCTAAAACTTAGAACCTGCTTTGTCCACAAACTCGAACGATCTCGCTCCTGGTAGAGGTGGGCGGTATTAACGGTTTGGCGGGTCAGTCTCGGTAGCCTCTGGTGTAACCCCAACCGGAGAAACCATAGCTCCAAAAATCGGACGGTTAAGAAAATGCGGCGGTCACTTCGACAAAACTCAAACAAACACCAAAACACAAATCGGAGGAAAAGCATTGTGGGAAAACAAACAATATTACCTCCTTATAATTAATGAAACGGAAAGTAATAAAAAGCTTACCTTGAAGTTGAACGGAGCGGTAACACAAGTATATTTTTTGAGGTTGGTATTGGCAAAATTTCACGTGACAGTGAAATAGATTTACCATGTGTCAAGCACATCTGTCACTTCAAAAATTTCCGAAAGGTTAATTCATTTTCGACTTTCATGAAATAACTTTCAGCATGTAAAACGGGCTTAACTCTATCCCGACAGTAATATACTCACGTGTTCTACTGTAAAATTTCAATTTGAAATATGAATATTTCTGTAATATACCAGGAATATTCAGAAAGGTATATTTGAACATATATTAAATATACCTAGAATATACATCTACCTTGTAAGATGTTGCTAGGGATATCTCAGATGTTCTGAGAATAAGCTTAAGAATATATTCTCCATTTATTCTGAATATTCTTAGAGCATGATGCATATATATCACTTGGAATATTCTGCGAATAAACTTACAGAATATTAGTTTATTCTGAATATTTTTGTATATGTATGAGCTATATATACTATTTTGGAAAAACGGTATTTATTTCTTCTCAATATTTTTTCAATATTCATTCATTCATGCTTTACAAATGTTCTACCCTTCATGGTATTCTAATGAAAGGTCTCATCGAAACGAACCGTTTTTTACCAACTACGCCCTTCTTTCTGTCCTCTTATCAAAGTACGGGGCGGGGGGGGGGGGGCTATTTCGGTTAAAAAATGTGCTTTACAGTTTTTCCTTTTTTACATTACAAGCGCATAATTGACGACCTACAATAAAAACAATTTTAAATTCAAAATGAGTGTAACGAACTAGTTACCTAAAAGAGATATTTTGTGTATTGTAATATTACGGTTTGAAATTGACACGTGATTGTGACAAAACGAATATTCCTCGTACATTCAGGGAAGTTCGTAACAGAATACTCTATATCGAAAAATCAAGGAATATATTAATAGTGTGTTCTCGGTGGTATTCATATTCTGAGAATATCCAATGTTATCTGAGAGCATAAAATTATACGAAATATCCTAATAATTACAACATTTTAGATTAAATAACACTCATAATAAAACTGACTTTGAGTTGCCTTGAATATAGGTATTAATGACTGCAATACAAATACCGCAATTTCTTTCAAGAGAAAATTGCAGGGGTGGATAAACAAGTAGCTGAGAAATGTGTGTATTTAATTCAATTTGTTTGCTGCAATGTGCGTGGAGTTAAATAGCAAAATCACACACTCCAAATAAGTGCTTGTGAATATTCAAGTTCATTAATAAAGAAATTCAATTAGAACATAGCAACTCCATTCGTTATTTAATATTACATACTTCAATATATTAATAATGTGTATATGTTTTAAAGGCGAACTCTGATTAGACTCCTTAAAGTATTTGAATTAAACTGAAATTTTCCGCAAATTCTCCACATATAAAGCAAGCACTTAAGTATGCAGTTATTGACCTAAGAGGCTAAATTACTTTTTAATATTAGAACTGTAAGTTGTCTTGAAAAGTATGATAGGAATGCTAGAGGTTATTAAAACAGACAAGAATTCGTTTCTATTTTTAAGATGCATCTTGTTTGGAAAACGCACCATCGGTTCAATGAAATGTGCTCTACAAGCAGCGTTCGGGTCTGGATTAGTTTCTAATTTACGAACGTTTAGCACAGAAGACGTGAGTGTATAGCGCATTTATTTATCCGTATGAACATAAGAAACACCAAATGGTATAATAACGCTTTCTCACATTTTCCTTTATTCCACATTGTTTCCCGAAGTTTGGAAGGTACTAAAAGCGTAAGAAATTCATTTGTTTAATTAGTGCAACCATATTAATTTTGAGTCGTCGTGGATGTAATGTTAGTCTACCTAATACTTACACTATATACAAAGGTAGAGAATTGCGTCAGGAGAAGGTTACACGTAAGATAATCAGAAAATGATCAAAGTCCTCGTGTGAGATCGAAGGGACTTCAGCGCATTTTTGTGTGGCAGATCAGTGTTTTATTAGCCAATATTGACGCCACCATCAATAAGATCTTGCCGAAAGCTACCACGTTCACTTTGTCGGTACCATTTTCTCACTTACCGTGCACTTGCAATTCGCGTTTGAAGTTTTGACTCCACCATCAGTAAAATCCTTTGGGGGTTACCATATTCCCTTTGTCGACACCCACTTCTGATCACCCGCAACAATTCGGATTTGAAGTTTCGACTCCACCATCAGTAAGATCTCGTCGGGGGTTACCACATTCCCTTTGTCGATACACAGTTCCGACGTCCCGTTCATTCGTAATTCACATTTTGGTAGATTTCGCTAAAATCCCGGCATAAAATCGTATTCAACTTTTGGGTACTTCACATAGCTCGACCTTCTATTAGTGACACGAGAAAGAGAGACCGCGATTCGCGCTGTAAGAAACTTTTGGGCGCCCAAAGTCGACTACCCCTCGAAGCGCGCCGCGCAAAAGGTGGTTTATTTCGCCCCTAGGAAAAAAAACAAAATTCCGCCACGCAGGAGTTGTGCGCGTTGACAAGATCTTCCCGACGACACCAATTTGAAAACAATCGGAGAAAAACTGTAGAAGAAGATAGATAAAAACTGAAAAATCTCCAGGTTAGTATAATACGCTCGGGGATGGCGTCCA